CTCACAAAAGGCAGAGAGTTTTGCTTTCAGTCATCAGCAAAAAGACTGTTTTATTTTTGCTAGAATTTCAGAAGAGCTTGAATTTCTCAGAGAGGACATATTTTAGCAGATTATTGCTAATGCAGCCAGGCGCCGTTCAGACAAACAATTTATTCCTTAGGTCCTGAATTTTTCCTGACATCCAAGAGATGGCGCCTGGAGAAAATGCAGTCTTGTGAAAAATGTTAAGTTGAAATTTACATCAACATTGATAGCTGCTTCATATTACCAAGAAAACAACTTGTTTTACAATCACGGTGAGACCTTGACATGCAAATGCCCAAAAAATCAGATGCTTTGATCTAGGGTCTCTTAAAACAAAAACAAAACAAATCTGCCCCAACATCTGGAAAATGCCTTGAGATTGGGACAATTTGCATATCTTTTCCAAAAAATATGAAATCTTATTTTTCAATTTTCATGCATCCTCAACACCTAGAATTTTCCCGCGGACTGGCAAAAAACTTCCGCAGACCGGCACCAGTCCATGACCCACAGGTTGGGGAACACTGGTTCAGATCAAGTTTTTTTCATATACTGAGGGTGTGAAGTGAAGTTAGGTTAGGTTAGCTCATGATGAAGAGCACAGAAGTTGCCATAAAATGATTTGAATAAATCATAACATGATTCCTGCAAAGTTATCTTTAGCGTGCCTGCTGGTGCTGGTTATTCCTGGCGCAATTCCAGTGATTTTCCAGAGTGCATAGGACTAGTCACTGACTGGTGATGCTGGAGATGAGGGTTATGAGAATTAATTGCAGATTCTTAATTTCATCTGCTGCTAGTCATAGATGCCAAGAGTTGAGGAAATTATGGCAGCGCACATGAATTTTGCGGTTGACCTCTGGTCAACTTATTGTGCCAAAGTCTTTTCCTCAGGCACTTGCACACAAGAAGTGACTCACCAAAAAATACATGTACGTCATGCAAATGTGTCATCTACCGGTGAAGTGAATCTTCTACAGATTTAACCGTCCTCTCCAGCAACATGGGCTAGTGACTCCCATATACAGTACTGTACTCCTCTGTATGACAAGTTCATAATCACGACAAATTATGAGCAATTGTTCATCCATTCTCAGCATTCTGCAGAAACTGACTTCCGGGGCAGTTAGGTATTTATTAGTTAGGTTAGGTCAGGTAATGTTAGTTGAATATATATTTTAGGTAAAAAAATCTGACCTAACCTAATCACCTAATTATGAAAAGTTCATGATCACAACAAATTACAAAAACTGTAAATCCATTCTTTGGCATTCTGTAAAAACTGACTTACTGGGTGAAGTTAGGTTAGGTTTTTTTTACTTAAAATATATTTTCAACTAGGTCAGGTTCTGTTAGTTTAAAATATATTTGGAGTAAAAAAAACATGTCCTAGCCTAACTTCACCTAACCGCCCCCGAAGTCAGTTTCCGCAGAATGCCAAAGTTTGGATTCACAGTTTCTTGCAATTCCTTGTGATTATGAACTCGTTGTAATTCAGAGGAGTGTACTGTACTGTATATCTGATGGCTATTGGCCAGTGTTGCTGGAGAGATGCATAGTTTCATATTCTGTTCATAGATGACGAGAGTGTGAAAAGTCATGGCGGCGCACATGGATTTTTCGGTGGGTCACCTCTGGTGTACAAGTGCCTTCCCCTCAACCTGAAATCTCCATAAGCAGATAAAATTCCTGCGTCCCTCTGATTTTGACTACAGTATAGTGAATGACACCGATCGTTTCGGTGACATCATCACTCACAACCGTATTTGAGGATAAGTGAAGGAAAGCGATACATGTTGCCGAATCCCAAGGACGAACTGACGAGCGTGAAGCAGAAGCTGAAGTTCTTGGCCTGATGCGCCACACTTCTGCCCACTCGCTCCAACAGGCGTTCTTCCCAGCCCACGGGGTAATCGTGAAGAGACGCCACGTCGGTCCTCACTGTGAACGACGTCAGCATCGTCACTGTCGTCATCTGGCTCTCCGACCGCCGCAAGGCGAATTCGTCGACCGACCAACGCGGCGTCGGGTGACCGCCTCCAACACAAACACCACCGCCGCCGCCGCCGCCACTGATGACGACAGCGTCGTCGATAAGCATGCCTGGTTTCGCATCTGTCCCGTCGACTGATGCTGGTGATGATTTCATCGAATACTTCCAACGATGAGAAAAACGATAGTGGCAGTAAGCGTCATGTAAGTTGAAGGGCGAGGCTTTGAAAAGGTTCTCCTATTCGAGGCAACGGGAAGGATATAAATCATGTTTATGCTGGGAATAACAGCGGAAAACTTCGACCTCGTGTGGGTAAAATGTGCTGGTGCGAAGAATTGGCATATTTTTCTCTATTTTCTTCATCTCGAAAATGGAGGAAGTATTTTGCGTTATTGTTGCCTCAGGCAGTCTCCAGTTGAGTATTTTTTGTTGTTGCTGCATTTCTTTGATAGATGCATAAAACCCGTTACTCATCACGTTTAAAAATATGAAGAAAAAAAAAGTTTTGCAGTGCAGTCCAGCTTTTAGAGCACTGCAAGGCGCTGAGATTCGTCAATCCAAAGAACAATACGATGTGCTCCATCATCATTCTGACATTATTCCAAGAAAGGCAGGTTTTTTTCTGTTTGCAATTTCATAAAATCCCAGTACGGCATATAATTGTCTGTCTCGAAAAAATTGATCATTTCCTGTCTCGTACTTCCATTGATTGATGGTGTTCTGTTCGAAGATTTGCCTCGTCCGTGGATTTTACAGATATATTGATTTGGAATCAGTCGCACTTTTTGTGTCCTTGTAAAGTCAAATGCTGAAGAAGCACGGAATATCAAGTTTTGAAAAGGTTCTCTGCAGTGCAGAAATAAAGAGAGAAAACATGGTGTTATGCTATGACCTTCGATTAACTAATTACTGAAAATATTTCCGTGTTATTCCGGGTACTTTGAGAGTCTTTTTTCTGGAGCTTCAATGTCTATGAGCACCCATGAAAGAGGTGAAATGTTTTTCAGCAGGTTTTGAGAATTAAAAAAATTCATCTTCATGAATAAGACGCGGGTTTGAAAACTCTTTATTCCTTTCTCCGCGAATCTTCGCTTATCAAGGATATCTAAATTATTTTCCGATTATTATTATGCATGGGCGAACATAATTCGACAAAGTCGAGCATGTATACTCATAAATTTTCTCGAAATACTCAACTCATGTTGTATCCCTATAAAAAAACACGATGTCATTTCCTTCGTCCTTCCTCCAGCATGCTGAATATATTTGTTAATATCATAAAAACAATTTTGATGCTCTTTTCTGGAGGAGAAGCACGGCTAAATTTTTCTTTTTAACCTTGTCATTTTTATAGTCTTGCGACTGCGGATTTGGGTCAAGAATAATCAGTACTTGGCCCACTCATGAACAGTACTCAAGCGTTGAAAATATATTACATTCTACCTTTCATTTTCATTGCATTTAAATACATTGTTTTAGGAATTACGTTGTGATTTTTCGCGGCATCTTCTTGTTGCTTCATCTCACATCTTAGAAGAACTAATGAAGTTCTCTCTCATTATATTTTTATTGTCCAGTCTGCTGGAAAGGTTCCAGTTGTTGCAGTGTTTCTAACACAATGCCGGTCTTTTTTTTTTCGAGCAAACCAAAGAATGATAGGGGAGAATTATTCTAAGATTTTAAAGCGTATCTGTTGCACCACGGATGCGAGGAAAAAGTCATTACAAGAAAACATTTATTATAACAAGATTCACGGTTCTTTGAGCCCTGAAATGATAATGGGAAACAGGAATAATAGAGGCTCTGAAGTTCTTCCACAATGGATTTAGAAATAGTAGATGAAATTCAAAATGTGAAATACAGCCCTCTTACTCTAGAGTATACCTCATCCCCTTTCTTATAATATTTGCTAAGATGTACTGATCTTATTGAGGTTTAGGCTGAAATAAACAGAAAATGCATCCATTTATATTTTATGAACAATTTGTCATGATAGCTCCGATGTTCTCTTTAACCTAGCAGACGACGCCCCAAACAGCTGCGTTGCCTCTCGCTGTGTCACGCCCTTGCTGCGTGCCGCCTCACTGAGTCACACGCCTAGGGTTACGCAACCCTCCCCCAAATGAGGTCAGATCCGGGTCTGACCACGATTGCGACACACTGACCAGCCGAATCTATATAGTTACTTGCCTTTGCTTTATTGCACGCTCATTGCTTTCTAGACGTTCTCTGGATACGTACTTACTGTTGAATACGAAATAAAGCTGTATTAATTTGTATTTGAGGAGTTATTGATTTACCGAACCCGGCAACAGGAATAAGAAAATCTCCTCACAATAAATTGTTGGAGTTAGTTAAACTAAAGCTTACGACGGTGAGTTTATACAATCAGAGGTTTGAAGACGTTTAAACTAATAGATTGTAACCATCAATTTTAACTAGTTCCGACAACAAGTATATTCCCTGAAAATACAGCAGTAACCTTCCAATCATACTTTTATTCCAAAAATTCGTCCTTTCTAAATTTAAAAAAAAAAACTGAATAAATGTTTATCGAAGCCTATCATGCTTCCTTTAATACTAGATTTTCTGTAAGATTAGTACTCATATTTTTGAAGGCTTTTCAAAAGTCAAATATGCACAAAAGTCGGTGTTCATCTTTTCCCTTTCCATTCTACCCAATGTCTAAAATTCCTTTGGTTTGATCACTCATAATCAATTAAGGCAAAATTCGTTATACTGAGATCATCGTGGGAAGTTACTTTGTTATGCAAACAATTGCAAGTTATTGTCCCTCTAGTAAGAAACTGTCTTTAACTCTGCTGGACCAAGAAAAAACATTTGCTATAACGAAAACTTCGTTATAACCAGATGCATTATATTATAATGGAATTTTACTGTTCTTCCAAAGGAATGTGATTCGAACAACCACACTTTTAAAAATAGTCTTGAGGGTGCAAGAATAAATCACGCAAAAGAGACAGAGAGAGAGAGAGAGAGAGAGAGAGAGAGAGAGAGAGAGAGAGAGGAATACTGTAGTAAGACGCTAGTCTTCGGCCCGATCGAGACGATTCCAATCATGCAGATGCCGGAACAAGGCGGAAAGCGCGGAAAATTTCATGCAAATCAGCAAGGATTCATGTATAGTATCCGCATTGAAGCGCGTAAATGCCCCAGTTTCCTGTCATCGATCACTGCTTCCGGTGTCCCGTCGTCGGGTCGCGATGAGCCGTCGTGACTTCCGCCGGAAGAGAATCCTCGACGCGGATGTTGTGCTGCTGCTGCTGCTTCCTGTTCCTGTTCTGGGCACACTGGGACTCGGGATCGATTTCTCCGTCGATTTCCTCAAACTCCTCGTCGTCGTCTTCTTCTCCTTCACCTTCACCGGAATTACATTTGACTACTTCCTGGTGGCCCTCATGGATTTCAGCAATATTTGTTCTGTCCCTGCGAAAGCAATAAAATCTTGTAAATTTCACGATCAAGCTCTGTTTTTATACAGCACTTTAACTCTTGAAATGAGTGAATTCCTCGAAACCATACTTTCGGAAGAATTTTTGATGCGAAGTGTAAAATATGTAGCAGTCTCTGACGTGGAATAAAATAAACTGAAAGTCATGCTTCAGTTGCGACACTTGAAATATCGTAAAATTTCAAGTTGCTCCACTTTTTCGTGCAGTTTCCAAATACAGTATGGAAGAGCATTTTGGTAAACGTTTGTTTTTCCATTTGAGAAGGGCTGATTATATTTTTTCATAAGCAGCTCCAATATTTAAATTTGTTCGGTACGACAACCTCTGTGCACTTGGTACGATTCTCCAGTCATTTCTCAAAATGTTGCATAAAATAATTTCCAAACACGTGTCCTTATTGATACGGCTCTTTATAAGGACTCCATTCCATTATTCAAATCTGAAACTTGAGCTAATAGGATCGTGGAAAATATCTAAACAATATTAACGAGAAGCACACTCTTCAAAAAATTAAGAAGTTATGCCTCTTCACGCTGGTTGAAAATATTTCGGGTTGAATCAACTCGACATAATTTTTTAAAATTAATTTATTGTAGATCAAACTCGAATCATTCGAACTGTGGACAAGTTTTTCTCATTTTCGAACATGCAAAATTGACAAAAAATATTTTCTGCATTGAAGATATGTATCATACATCCAAAAAAAAAAAAAAATTTCCAATAGCTTGATTCGATTATTGATTTTTATAGCACCACATCCTTTTTTTTATATGTCCCTCTTATTTTTGAACATGAGTGATGAGCCTCTGAGAAAATACCATCTTGCTCTTGAACTTGAAAAGAGCTCATTTATTTTTTTTAATGAGAAGCTTCAAAATGTAAATCTTTTTTTTCTTGTACAACTGAAGAAGATTTCAATTTACATCAGTGCCTTGCATGCAAACAAGCAAACATCTCCGAATCTATTTCTGTCGTAGATTTTCATCCATAATATTCCTGGACAGCAATCTCTTCGGTTTCTTGCTATGATTTAGAAAGAAAAATAAGCACAAGACAAATTCCCGTTTCGTTCTTCGGTACTGCTCTATTTTAGGAGCCAAGCAAATTTCAAAAAATGATCCCTCGCAAAAATCCCCAAGAAATCCCGTCATTCCTGACGGAGACGGAAAGCAACGAAAAAAGTTTTGAATCGCCCAGCAGCAGCCGCAAAAAGATCTGATGAAAACAAATCGACGACAAAGCCGTTTGTATATATTGTCTTTATGCGTCAAAAGTTCCTCGGTTTATGCATTATCTGCTGCAATGGAAGACTCCAGGCCCGGGCGGAATACGCTATTGGCCCAAAACTGGAATTTGCATGATCCATAAAGAGATTATCTCGCTGATTCCATGTCTGAGATTGCACCATATATCCCAGAGAATAAGGGCTTAATCGAATTGGCAAAAGAAAACTTTTGAAGACAGACATACTCGTCATAAACACACTCAAGTGCAGCAGTGGGGTCCTGAAATGTGTGTGGCGGAATAATTCGGTACGTTAAAGTACCGCCACGCCGTACGATAAATTCGTAAGAGATGTTATTCGATTAATCCAGAATATTCCAGACCTCACTCATGTTTTCTACAGAACATGGAAGAGAGAGAGAGAGAGTGAAAAACCATAGAAGGTCCCTCTTGCAGCATTAATATTCGGTACTTTCCTGAATCTGTCTGAGTCCACTATTATTATTGTATTCCAATCGTTCTCTGATATTCTTATTGTGTGCTGTGTTCTGTGAATCAATTAATCTTGGGGTTGAAAACAAAATATACTTTATCTTTGTCTAGATCCCCAGCTGAACCCCACAGCTGATTGAAGTGTTTTATTTCTGAATTCCACGCCACATAATTGGTGCTTGGATTGTGTCCCTATGTTGGAATGTCCACATGTTGGAAACATTTTCCTTTCAGACTTTGATGAGAATATGTTTAATTGGTTCTCCTATATTGATCAAAATTAAGAAAAAGTCCCCCAAACATTGAATAAACTAATAAATCTCCACTTCAACCCCTGCTAGGCGGTGAAGCCGCAATTTATTTGCAAAATTTGGTACCATAAGGCATGCAAAAAAACAAGCAAAAAAGCAGGGATGATCAGGAGAGCTAAAGCCTGGAAAAAATATCTCAAATCTGTCTTCTTCTTCAACAGAAACATTTTCCTAAACCTTTGCTGCTGTGTGGCATTTTTCCCCACTCCTCTCATAAGATTGGGTGTGGAAGGCTGGAAGCCTGTGCTGCTGGCAAAATCTGTGATGGCAAAAAAAAAATTGCCATCACATCAAAGGGTTATGAGACCCAAAAGGGACACTAAAATTGAATACACTGGTTTGGCAGACCAGCAGGGATTTATTCCCTTTCTGCTGTGGTTTTTCTGCCCTCATAACAGCACTGCCAAACTTTAGACACCCCAACCCTGGGTTATCAATCTAAAGCAGGTTTTATGGCCATTACTTTTCTGTCCCTCTTTTTTGCCTGCCAAAACAAAAAGACCACCCAAGATGCCGTGAGGAAGGAAGGTCCAGAATTTTTGGATAATACTTGTTATTCAAAAAACTATTCAACAAAGGCATGGCAGAAAAGGAAATTTCCCCAAAAGACAAGGAAACACAAAGTCTACATAAATCTGACATTTATGCGCCACTTTGTTAAACTCCAAAGTCACAAACAAGCCAAAGTCACAAACAATTTGCTGAATGCCAATCACAGACTTTGTTATAAAACCCAACTCAAGTTACAAAAGATATCATCAGTCCTTGCGTTTTGCTTTTCAAGACTTCACATTAGCATCAAGCCTTTTTTTCCAAAATAAGATTTTTGTACCTGTGAAAATTTGAATTCTCAATTCTCAGAACAACAGGTTTGAGCAGATTTTGGGACTTTATACACCAGCCATCAGTGGAGCATCCACCAATGGCAGTCTTCTTTTTTCAGCAACTAAAAGTATCGAAAGAATTTCCCCTCATACAACAATTTATTGCAATGCTTAATGCTTAATTTTGCACAGCACATATGAATAATATGATAGGAAGAACCCTAAAGAAAAAAGCAACAAAATAAAGGAGCCTGTTGTGGATTAGAAGTTGTAGGGAATCTTTCATGAGATGTATCACCAATTTTTTCCAAGACAGAAAGCTCAATTTGTTCAAGAGATATCAGAATTCAGAAAAATGAAATTTTCCCAGTTTCTGGAAATGTTGAAAAAGTGTCCATAGATCTTGAGACATTGTCCACTGCTTGCCAGAGCTGGCAGAACTTTTTTCTACTTTCAAAAGTCCCTAATTTGAATCGTCCATATTTCGGGGTGTCCGCATGTCGGGGCCCCCACTGTACTCAAAAAGTAACCAAGCTTGTTCCCACCGGAAAAAAGGCCACACGCCAGGTGCGGGTTTTTCAGCGCGGTTGTGCAATTTCTACATTTCCAGACAATACCGCGGCACGGGTTCTTCCAAATTGATCATCATAATTTTTATTTTTCATTTTTGGGATTTAATTTTGTCAATTTCAGACAGGAGGAATTACCCTTGATGCGTCGGTGTCGGAGTGGTAAACTGCTTAGCCCAGGGCTCCAGGGCCCAGAGCAACAGTGACACCGACATGCACGCGGCCAGGGTGAAGTAACTGGCCCGGAAATTCCCCGTGTTCGTCCGCAGCAGCCCTGGGAAATCAGGAGAAATGCGACGCACTCACAGAGGATTCCACACCAGGATTTTCATCAGCAAATTGAGAACCCGGAAAGGACCCTGCTTCAACTCAATATAAAAAAAGCGAATGTATCTCAGCAGCGGAACCGTGCGATGTTCGGGAAACAATGATTCGAAAGACTTTCGGGGTGCAATTCAAGGTGAATTTAAACGGTTTAATCTAAATTGAAACTCCGGAAATATTCTAGGGTCTTGTGAGACATTTTCAACGTCCAACAGGAAGAGAATCCCTCGCACAGGGACAAGAAATATATTTCACGCGGGATTTTCATCAGGAAATTGGGAGCAGAAAAAAGTACCGGTTTCGTCACTATAAATAATCTAAAAAAAAGGAGTTGAACTTATCTAAACAAGGAAGTCGTGTGTTGTTTATGAAGCAATAAATCAACCGAATTTATTGTGATTCAATAATTCAAACCGTGTGCTAAAATATGAATTGGAATTCCATAAATTTCCAGGGTTATGTGACACATTAGCCAGACGCTAAGCCATCATATACAGTAACCAGAAATGACTGTTGAAAAAAAACGCAAACGTTGAAAAAAAAAACTCGTGCTAAAACTTTGCATCTGAATCAATGATCTCGAAATATATTCTCATCATCTGGTCCAAATTGTATGCTTGAACTCATTTATTGAATTTAAAATTTAATCAAAAACCGAACAAATTCTCTGCTATATTTATTAGACTTCTCATTGAATCTGAACTTCAACTCAATTTCAGTAGGGACCCGCTTTGGAATTGCCTATATAGAGACAAATACTAAAAAACTGATGTAATAATAAATCTTACCTAGCAAAGGGCCGACGGTTATGTAGCAGAATCCGTTGGAAAACATTGTGAATCCCTTGGTTGATGGCAAATTATGTACTCCAAAGTAGTGAACAAGTACCAGGCCAAAATGCGTCACCGCCGAACCGCAACCAACGCCGAACAGCAAACAACAAGCGTAAGTGGCCACACCAGACACAAGCGGGAAAACTGCAATTTGCTCATCAAAACGTGTCAATTCTCGGTCGTGGTGATCGAAGCATTTCATTTGGTAAATGTGCATTTTTAACGATTTATCAAATATGATTGTGAAAATTATTGTCATTTTGTTGGAAACAATTTTGAAGAAGTCTGTGAAAAAGACTTCAAAGGTCTAGGACTTGGGTATTCAAAATTTAGATGTCATTTCAGAAGAATTAGAAGAATATATATTTTAATATCAATAATCAGTTGTTAGACAACAGTACCCAGCAAATAATTTGCTGGGTTTTACAGTTTTACAGTTTACGCATTTGTTATGTGTAACTGTTATGCCCAGCTTCTGTCAGAAATAGATTCTAGACAAGAAAGGAAATTTTAAAAGATTCCTTTTGATGAGAAATTTGGATGCTGATTAATGACAAGAGAGCTTGAAGAAGCTTACTTTCAATCAATTGTCTTAGTGGAAAAAAAACAGGAATGAAACAGCTTGATCAGCCATGCTGCAGCCAGGACTGAGAAGTCCTAATGTAAGTTGTTATATTTTCTTTCTGGCTTGAAAAGGACTTTTCAAAGTAAGAAGAAATGAACTCAAGTCACAACTCAATGATGAAGACTGTGAAACAATATGCAAACACAAAAACTGGACTCTTGCAAGATCTGCACAACACAAAAACCAAAACTTGATTGATTCTTTAGCTTGTTTTCAGTAACCAGGAAAACTAATTTGATGAATGCATAGAAAAATCCTTGATGCTCCAGGATTCTCCAAAAATAGGCTTGAAGGACAAATCATTTTTGGGAGGAAGATTGTGGGAACTAAAGGTCAACTCCAGCCCCACAAGATTCCTTCAGGATTAGCTATTTCTGCCATCCTTCCAAATCTTTTATTTCTAAACAACTTCCACTTTTATTCTTGACAGCTTCTTCTGCTACTCCTTCGTAATTCCCCTTTTTTCATGGGTGGTGTACAGAAAAATTTTTGTGCAATGCCTTGGGAATGCATTTGTAATGCATTATATTGTTACAACTTTACTTTAAAAATTTTGGATGTACAGTACTTTTTTTGATTGTAGCAGGCAGGCATTTCCAAAAATGCACATAAAAAAAAATCTTGACTGCCCTGCACAAGGGTTGTAAGGAGGCATTTGACCATGGGAAGGTTCTCTTATGGAGGTCCAACACGTAAATGAAAGGCGCCTCACGCAGGACAGCAACGAGTACAGTGGCCAGTCCCACAAGGTACACGACCCGCTCGTCCACCCAACCCCGGTCCACCATGACAGGCACCACCAGTCGCACCACGATGTCCGACATGGGCGGCAGCGACAGCAACGTCGCCGTCTGGCGCCTCGACAGTCCCTTCTCTCGCGCACTCATCGGCAGCATGAGCACGAAGTTGAAGTAAGTCAGCCAATAGAGACAGTCGGAGAAGAGCAGGATCAACAGCATGGGGTTCCGCAACAGCCCGAAGTCCAGTTGAGCAAATATCCGCTTGGCCAAGTTTGCGTCATCATCCGCTTTCATCCCCGGGGACGGGTTCTCGTCGTCGTCATGGTACGCCGACGACGACCCCCCTTATTCGTTGGTACGTTCATGGTCTGTGTCGCTGTACGTACTCTTCTTCTTCGTCCTCTGTTTAATTTAATGGTACGTGTCGACACATGACATTACACATGACGCGCGTGATCATTGAATTTATTTGTGCAGATTCCGACAAATTCTGAAATATCTGACGCGCTCAAGGAGGAAATGAAGTCCAAGCATACTGTAGGACTTTGCAAGCCTTGCATCCGCGAGAAGTAGTTCAACGTTTTTAATCAGATTACCTTCGCATGATCTTTGTACTATTTTGCACTGATGTAAACATGCCCCATCACTTTATTTGTTCGAATTCGAATTCTGAAATCCTGGCGCAATTACTTTTAGAGCGAATAAAGCATCTGAAATTGTGAGCATCATATGCACGAAGGAATTATTCTACAGCCTTGAAAAAGAAGATTTGCTCTCACTCGATCACTGATTTTACTGGTTATGTTTTCTTTTTTTAAATAGAAAAATTATGATATTTCTCCGAAATACTGTATCCAGTTGAAATCCCGTTGGAAACGGAATCGGCATTGAATACCATAACGCGTTCTTTTTCAGCAAATTTTTAGTTGGACATCATTTTTAACTTGCTTGGCAAAGAATGTATGCGTTTAATGTACATTGTATAGTACCAATATACTTGTTTGATTTACACCCCAGCCCCCCCTTTTCCTCTCACATTTGAGAAAAAAGTGTGTGTGTTATTTGAGTTACCTCAGTAATTATGTTTTCCTTGTTTTAGAAAACCAGACTCATGCAGAAATTAATCTGATCTTCCATAAATATTAAAACGGACGGGAAAGTCAACTCACCCACTTAAACGCATAGACAGCCTAGAATATCCTCGGTACTGCAGAAATGCGACAGAGCTACCACAGATGTCGCGCGTGCTGTCTGGACAGCGAACCGCAAGGCGTGGACTGCGCGACGAGATCAGATGAACGTGAGATTCGCTGGCGCGGCGCATATTTTTGAACAAATCCAGGTCGACTTCCCGCAAATTTCGCTGATCCTTTTTGGCAGCGTGATGAATGTGTGATGACGTGCTGACGCTCATGGGACCAACCATCAGTGATGCCAACCCTCTGTTTGGACAGTGCTGATGGCGATCAACAGGTGACGGACTCGCAATATCAATCTCGGGCTCGCAGCTTTCTGAACTCCTCATCAAGCCTGTGATTTCTTCTGCTGCTTCCGGTCAACGGGATTCCATGTAAAAAAAATGTAGACAGATTTTAAAATTTTGACTGAACTTCACGAGCGAGACAATTTCCTCATCCTGTCAGGATTTGCACACACTCTTCGGATTTTGATTGGAAAACAATTTTTCTCTCTAGTGAATCTGTAATCTGTTCATATCTTCATAACCAGTGTGGGCCATCACTTGAACAAAGACCTGACTAAAAATATTTTGTTTCACAGGAAAATGTATTGGTAGGTTGAATGAGACTCACATACAAAAATTTCTGCGTTCAAAACAGTTTTCAAAATACCATTTCTAATTTTTTTTTAACTCAATGAACGTGAAACGAAGATTAAGTTTTGCCTTTTTATGCGCATACGCTTTTTTTTATTTCGAATTGGACAGTGGAAAAGTTTCAGGATCATGTATTAAAAACTGAAACTTTAATCATGTATTAAAGTTTCAGGATAACTTTAATTTTACTCACAGTTTTATGCTAATAAAATGCAAAAATGGAAAGGTTTTCAATGTCTCTTATTGAATTTGTGAGTGTCTGGAACAGATATAAAGTTTATCAATGTAAAATATGAGAAATCATGCCTCTTGTATCAAAATTTCACGTACTGAGTTTATTTCCCGCTCTAAAAAAGAACTGGCTGCATTATTATTTTAATTTTCAATTCATTTCCCACTCGGGTTCTTTAAAGTCAGTTTAATTTCCCAGCAATAGAGCCACAAGGTAATCTTAAGACAAAAGTTTTTTCGGGGTCCAAGAACTCCAAGTGGCTTTTTTGCAACTTGTTTATATTATTTTACTGTAATCTGAAACTAAATACAGTATGAGTTATCCACTGTCATAATTTGGGATTTAACGGAACCCGGTGATAATGTGCTTCATGAATCATGTTCACGACGCCATTTCCTCAATGCACTCACGCGTGAACAGTCATAAGCGAGAAAATGTCCTTCTATGGAGCTTAGAAAAAAGAAAAAAACCGTGTTTTGTCAAAACAAAAGTTGGTATACTCGAACAAGAGCAAGATGACCATCGAAGATGATTGATTGACTCCCATCATCAAGTGGAAGAATCGAAACGGCTTTATCGCAGCAATTTTTATCGCCAAGCGCAAGACATGCTTCCGCCTAACGGAAATTGCTTTGGTTCTTGTGGAATTCTACTTATTCAAATGTTGAGCGTTGATTTTATGAACTACGTCGGATAAATTCAGGGTTGAAGAAGATATCGGAGTCCAGCATGTCTTCATAATTTAACTGGATATATGTTATTTGAGTTTGCTTATAATAATTTTTAATGAAGATATTTTACCGGTCCCAATGACTTCATTATTGGCACTAGACTTTACTGTACTGTAACGTACTGTATCAGAGAGAAGTTCGAAGAACAGACCGAGAAGTAACTGACCGTCAGTAGGAGCGAAGTCAGCAATCGGTGCCGCAGGCACATTCGATTCGTTTCGGTTGTTTGTTGGTAGATGACGCTCGACGGGGTCGAACAACATTGCTGCAGGGATCAAATGCAGAGCCACTGATGACATGAGCAGCACTGTTCCACTGTCGGTGAATGTCTCCAGCATCCAGTGCTCGGCCGTGGGAAACAAAATGCGACCAAGGGTGGCTGAAGCGTTGAATACCCCCAGGGCAAGGCCGCGCTTCTGGTCGAAGTACAGGTTGACCAGAAGGAAGCTGCTGGAGTAGATCAGGCCCGAACCAAAACCTGGTATCCAAGAACAGCGGGTATTCACAATATTTATTGAACCTTAAATCACACACATTCCCCGTTGACGTGAAAACGGCAATGGATTCCTTGGAAATCCACTTATTTTTAATTTTAGTTCTGAAATTTGGGATATGCAAAACTGGCCTAACTTCTAATGCTGACCCTCAAGGAAGATTCGTACCATGCTTTTTCACTCAAAAATTGTGAATAAAATGTACGAATCCCGGAGTAAAATACACAGCCCGTTTTTAGCCTCTGAAACTGCAATATTTTAAAGATCAGATCACCCAAATTTTAATTTAGACACGGATTGAGCCTGAATTCAGCTAGTTTTCATTAAAATGCGCTTTTATGCTGAACGATTTTCCTAAATTCCCCATGGTAATCAAGTAGAGTGTAGATCTAAACTTTTCAAACTTCTTGAAAAAATTATGTCTGCCTATGATGCGCATCCACACAATTTTTTTCCTCTTTCATTTTTTTTTAATGCGTGTGGTACTGAAATAAGCACGGTAAAATAATCATGGTTTGTGCTATTTTTTCATACTCAAGATTTTGTTGTTCGCTGCCTTTTTCGGTGACGCAATAAATTCTTCTGTTATTCAGGAAATGTTGGCAAGGAGAAACTCTGAATAATACAGTGTGTACTCGAGAAAAAAGCCTAGTGCAAAATTATTTCGCACGAGCCGATTGTTTTTTTTTTGTAGAAACCGACGGAATTTTAAGCTGCGAGTTATTACATGGAATTCTCTGAAACTCTGGCATATTTTAAAGATACTACAATACTTATGAAGGACGAATCTTTTCCCCATTTTTTTATTTAGAGAATTGTAAATCTCTCTGAAAAATGGTCGTGCCGAACAGAAATAACTTACCGAGGCAGGCGTAAGATTATTCGCACAGGTCAGGTCATAGTGTATTATCGCAAATATTACTGGCCTTCAAAGCTTTGTCTCATAAATTTTCTTTTTTTGTGTGTGTGATAATTCGGCAGTTTTTAACTCAAGCTGCATCTTGAACCATAACATGACTAATAATTAAGCGGAAGTGGGTCCTAAAACCTTAGATCAGATCAGTTTTACTCGATTTACTCGTGTTGACGAGTTTTCTCATGTTATAATGACATAAATGTAAGACAGTTTTTCAATCATTCGATATATTTTTGCTCGTATACAGTATTGTGATGCACGAACTGTTGATGGAAATATGAACCTGTCTAATCTCCTCTCAAGCGATATTTACAAAATATTCATCCTGCACGAGGGCATCTTGACTCTAGCAAAATTTTTTTATATTGTATAAGTACTGCACATGTACTAGAAAAAAGCTTTCTCGGTTATATGAACGTAATAAAACATGGGTTTCATGATTAATGGGATTATTCTCTGAGGACCTCAGGACATGGTTCAGCATTTAATGAGGAGTACTTGGTCTGACTCAGAAGACGGAATGCGAGACTTGTTATGAGTTTAATGCCAAGCCTGCTGTCGGTGTCTGGACTGTCTGCACACCCCAAAAAAAGAAGAAAAAGAAACAAGAAAAGCCGGGTCAACATACCGACGCAGAGGCTGTAGGTGAAAAATAGTTGCCACGCTGCAGTAATCATGTGCGACATGAACAAGCCGAATGCGATCAAGGCTCCAGCCGCCACTGACACACGCTTGTGCGAGTAGATACTCGACAAGGGACCAGCAAGCAACGCTATTTTGAGTTTAAAAAAAGAATAATAAGAAAAGGAATTAGCATTTTGTTTTCAAATCATCTTTATACAGTACCACTTTTTGGGAATATAGGGATACAAAAGAAAGCAGCCAGGTGGTGTTTATTCATTTACCGTATTTACTTGAGTACCATACACCCTGGAGTAAGGCACACACAGGGGTTTTTCAGTTGTAAATTTGGCTAAAATCTTATCCCAGAGTAAGATGCGCACCCCAATTTTTAGTGAATCTAAAACCACAAAATTTCAAAAATAAAAACAAAAAATTGACGTTAGACATGCGTTGAACAAAAATCTGATCAGTTCTCAACTTTTTTAGCACAGAAAGTGTTCTTGTTACATTATTTTCCAAATTTATCCATTATAATCAAGTATAATGCACACATAACTTCCTCAAACTTCTTGAAAAATGTGTACCCGCTTATGACGCACACCCCTTTTTTTCTTCAGAAATTTTAGAAAAAGGTGCGCGTGGTATTTGAGTAAATATGGTAATATGAATTGTTTATTTGTTGTTTATTCATATAATATGAGTATACTCCACACCAGTGTTCCCCAATCCCCCAGCCCATGGTCTATGGAATGGCGTTGGTCTCCAGAAGTTTTTTTTGCCTATCTGAGGGAAATTTTTTTAAGCAAAATAAATTTATCAAAAGTGACAAATAAATTTGGTAACTTTTTCTGAAAATTTGGATTTAAAATGGTGGTTGAAATTATCTGATGAAAAATAAAATTTTACTTTTCTCTTAATAATGCTTCAAACAAATTGTCAATGGCTCAATTGAATTATTTCAATTTTTCATTCTGAGAAAAGTTTTGTCACTCCAGTTCAAAACCACCTTTATTCCTTCAAAGATATTCCACTAAAGCTGCTTCATTGACTCTCAAGTTAATTTTTGGAAAAAAACAGAAACTTTTCAAATACCTGCCATGCAGTCTTTACAACAAAACTTTTTTGAGTCAGCAAAAATTTAATGAAGTTTTGCTGGTCTACAAAAAATTTCTGGACATAAGTTGATCCGCAAAGTATTTTATGGAAATTCTCCAGTTCACAGGCCCAAGAAGGTTGGGGTACTACTTCTACAATGTTTTTTTTTTTTTAGTGGCTTGTTGAATGCTTATCCCTGCATGTGCAAGTAGCACCAAATAAAACAGCTTTTGATACCTTTAGTATGCTTTTCATCCCCATGAAATGTCCTTATGTATGAATTGTTCTTAAATTATGTCACAAAAAGGCGGGTACAGATTAAAATCGCTAGTATTCAATTAATATGGGTGCCATCTAACAGCAGCCAGTGTGCAGGTACAGTAGTATATTAAGGTACCAAATTATTCCGTCACATACTCCATGCGTCCCTTTTCCTCATATATGCGGGGACCCATTGGACATAAACTAAAAGTTGCTCTTCTTCTCGCCTGATCAAGCATTTCCTCTCTGGCTTCCTCCTCCTCCTCGAACAGCTACAACAACGTGATTAGCGGGAATCAACGTGCCAGAAAATTGGCCAACAAAAGCCCGAATTGCCACTAAAATAGATACATGCGTTTTCCGGCCCACCGACCGGAAACAAGCGAAACGGACAAACGCCATTGTGGACTATAATGGACACGGAGCGGGATTCCCGCTGCGAAGCACGTGACTGCGCAGTATTTAACTCGACGCCTTCTTTTGATGCGACCGCGACAAGCAGGAACAGTTACAGGCAAACCATGTATAGAAGGGAAAATTCATCGCCATGCTGAGCAAACATGCTTGGAGTACTGTAGCATTTACTTGTTCAGCAAGAATACGGACAAAAATATTGGTAGGACACTGTCCAAAGATATCGCATACACTGTTTGAAATGGGGATTTATGACCGTTGTTACGTGGGGCAACTGAAGGGAAGAATGTCGAGATTTACGTTGAACGTTTCACGTACAATATATACGTATAATGATAGTCAATGACAATAGTTGGAGCAAATTTTTAAGGGGATTTGAACTTTTGTGATTTAAACTGTGAAATTCGACCATTCCGTAAAAAATAGACCGCGTCTTTTTATTCACCCATAATTCTCAGGAGTATTGCAATAAAGTCATACTTTCACACACTTGTACCTATTATTGGTAATTTAATTGTGCCATTGTCTCCAGGAAAAAAATTTCATTTCGGAAGGTTCTCTCCATCAGTTTTGAACCTTTCGTTCAAGCCAGACTTAAATAAAACTCAATCTGATCAGCCCTTCTGTTCAGAAGTCGGGATATTTTAGCAAAATGTTGTGCTCAAGAGCACTGGTTTATAAAAAAATTATATGAACTGAGAACCAGACCTAAGCCAAAAAAAGGCCAATTTTTTTTTTCTCTGCAGCACCCAGCAGTAAATTTTTGACGGAATAAGTTCCTTGCTGGGTTGAATTTTTCCTGCATTCCGAGCACACAAGATTAGCATGGAAGATTTCTGAAAGAAAAAAGATGTAATCTTCCTGGATTCCCCCCCCCCCCACTTAATTAGGCCTTCTCAAACCAGATGCAATTTTGTGACCTTATTCAATGGTCAAAATAAAAAGTGCCTGCGCGTAGAAAAATCACACCTTTGCCATGGGATGTATAGGCGGCTGCCAACATCTGAGTGTTAATTTGAACATTGTGGACAGAATGAAAGACTGAATGTAGAAGCAACTGGAAGTATTTCCTGATGTCAGCAACTGCTTGTTACAACTTTCAAAATAATGATGAAATTGCGCCTTATTTTAATACAATCTTGTGAGGAAATTTGTTGGTACAGTATTGAATTCAAGAATATCACATTTTTTACCCACTTTCTAATGGGTTCCCTCATAGCAAAACTAATTAGTTCATGGATGTGTTTTGTTATGCAGAATGGTTGTAATGCAAAATGCATTCACCCTTCAGTTTGCAATAAGATATATTTAATTTATTCCATAAACTTACAAAAAAACACAATAAACTTTGAAAACTGTGCGTTTTTCCAAATTTTCAGAAGAAATGCTGGATTTCAAATTGATCATTGCTAAAGGCACAAGTTTGTGCCTTTAATTATCTAAAGTTTAATACAGTACAAGTATAGTAGTTTAAATTTCTTGCTTGCTAAAATTTCAGTGTTTTTGACGAGAATTTTGCTGCTTGAAACAATTTATTTATGTGAATCACTTTATTCAATCTAAATTTTGTTTCACGGGCATTTTGAAAAGCGAGGAAACATCACTGCTGGTTTTTTTTTTTTTTTTTGCCATCATCGAGCAACACGATTGTCTTTATAATCGGTCTGTCTCACGAAGTATTACTGTATTCTCAAAAGTGTGTATAGCAGAATGTGCCTAGAGGACGAAGTCTTCGGCAAAATACTTCTTCATTGTCAAATGAAATTGAAGAATATATTATGCACGGCATGACCACTCGATTTGACAAGTTTTGTGATGTTCAGCAAAGCCTAAAGGTGTTGCTGTTGCTTACTTAATTTTGTCAAAATGACGGGAAATTTAATTTTCGCCCGGTGTTCTTAATCTGCACTTTTTGCTGATAATGTAAGGGTAGCAAATATTTCTTGAAGAAATTGGTTTTCGAGAAATTCTACAGTGTACTTGCATGATACACTCCAGAATGCTGTGCCAATGTTGAAGATCCAGGCAATCATTGTCGCATCGGCGCCATGCTTCTGCAATAGTCCCCCGAACAATAACGAAAATGTCCCAACGATGGCATTGTTGATGGCCTGCAAAAAAAATGGAATAAAGCCGCTGCTACTGTAAATTACACACGAATAATTGTATACAACATGATCACTCGATGTAAGAATGGTTTGAGTATGGGTATCATGGATTACCGGATTTTCCGATGATGTGTCTCAAAACCACCGGAATCGCAGATCCGTGAAAAATATGACTCATTTTCGAATGTGTGACTTTCTAAATTATTGTTCACGAACAAAAACTGCTGCAGAAAATTATAGTTTCTACTAAAAATGAAGATGCAAAAAAAGAACATTTTTCCGACGATTGACGTTGTTAATATTCTATTCCTAAAAAATTATGCACATAAAAATGAACAGAGATGAGGTGCAAAAGTATTTTTTTTATCGAACATATTATACAATACATAGGAGAAGTCCAGTGATTCTTTCCATAATCAAATTGGCGCAGTCGAGAATATGTATTCGGTACGTCAATTGTAATCAAGTACTGTATTGTAATGTAAAATATGTACATTTATATTCGTATAAAAATTCCGAATGATTATCGAAGAATCAAACGATGATGATATGATAATTTAACTATTTTTTGCTTCTTATCACCTCTATTTGTTGTTTAAGTACAGTATTCATAAAAATAAGAAATGTGTTTGTGCTGTGAGTTCCGATTTGGCAAGATAAAAATCTTGTCTTCTGGATATTCTTTTCTTCCAATGCCATGGTATAAAAAACTTGGAATTTCCACAGCTCAGTCGCGTTGCAAAAAAATAAAAATAAAAACGACTGTATTCTTGCTGTGAGTACCGATTCGGCTCGTCGGAGTTCTTCAGTCCTTGAACTGTTGCCAGTCTGAAATATTTTCTGGTAGCCAACCAGAAATTCCTCACCTCAAAGCAGCAATGCGATTTGGCCCTAATTTATACACGCAAAACGCCTTGGCTCCTTCCACACGATAGAAAAGATCGTGCCATCATTGGAGAGTTGACACTGATAACACACCATCAATTTTTGTGAATTGGAAGATGATATTCTCGTTGAGTATTGTACTTTCATCCAAAGGAATACTACAATTTAAAACTGGTGCATTACTGACTACATCATTTCACGGAACAGAATTTTACTCACAATAATTGGCACCACAGCACCCAGGACAACCCATCCCCAACCTCCATCAGGAGCCAGTTTTTCCATCTGTAAAAGCCTGAAACATATACAGTATTAAACAGTAAAATCTCCGGATAAAGTAAACCATTCGGACCAGGAAAGAATCTTCCTCAAAGAATGTGATGCTGTATAAAAAAAGTTGAAAGAACATAATGCACTCAGCAACCCAAGTACTTATTTTAATCAATATTTATCCAACATTTATACTACAATATTTAATACTGTATGACCAAACAGAAATTTGATGCACAGTACTAAATAAATAATTTTTATTTGGGCCAATAGGCTCCTCTACCCATGTTACAGGTACTCTGTACTGTACAACGAAATTGTCTCTGCGAATAATTTTTTCTGGTCTCTTGAACTTCGTTGAACAGAGTATTCACTTGTACATCACATGTACAGTAGTTTAACCTGGTGACTCATCTCCCTTGGCTTTTCCTCAAAATAAACAAGCACTTTGGCAGCCGAATCAACAAAAGATATGGTGAGCCGTTTATTAATAGCTTCACGGTCAAGACTCAAGACTCATTCTCACGGTTGAGCGTAACACCGTAAAATTTTGGATTAACCAAGCCTGTTCACGAGCCACTTTTCTCACACTTCGATGCCTCAAAAATGAGCCAAGCCACAAGACAAACATCGTGTGAAACCAGCTCTGGGAGCAACGAGTTTCTTTCCTCTCAAGACCCTCAAATAACGGATTTTGTCAGCTGCAGAATTACTGTTAACTCTATTTCTCCTGACTTTTGTCTACTGCATGCAGGAGAACGTTGTTCTTTCTCGCAGTCGTCACCGCATTTACTCGTGCAGTAGAATAATTTAAAAACCGAATATTAGGTTTTAAGTCCTTTTCCAATATTATCAACAGCTGCAATATTTTTTTGAGTACGCTTATAACGATTTTTTCACAATAACGCAGCTATTTCATTGGTCCCTATGGCTTCATCGTAACGAGATCTTTCTGTGAATAGAATCTAATTTCGTTTTGCGTGAAAATGTTGAGAGAGCTTTTTTGTTTATGGATTTCATTATTCATGGCAGTTGAAATTCAAGGTAATTTCAACTGTGTGTACGA